ACGAACTTCCTTCATATCCCAATACTACAAGACATACATGGTCAGTAAAGACATCTTCAAGTTTAGAGAAGCCTAGGTATATTATATTTGGTTTCCAAACAGCTAGGGATAATAGTGCACGAAAAAGAACTGATGAATTTGATCACTGTAAATTAAAAAATCTCAAAGTATTTCTAAACTCTGAATATTATCCTTATAGTGATTTAAATCTCGACTTTGAAAATGGAGATGTCTCTAAAGCTTATGAGATGTTTATGAGGTTTAGAGAGACTTACTATAATACTATCCCAGATCCTATGATTAGTAGGGCTGAGTTTATGAAGAAATATCCACTAATTGTAATAGACTGTTCTAGACAGAACGAAACAGTGAAGGAAGGAATTGTTGATATTAAATTAGAGATTGAAACTGCAGAAAATGTACCAGCAAATACATCTGCATATTGTTTGATAATACATGATAAAGTGTTTGAGTACAATCCTTTGTCAAATGAGATAAATAAAATGTAAATAAAAGATGAAAAACATTCAACAAGAATTGGTTGACTCTGCAAATCAAATACGAGAGAAATATAGAGCTTTAAAACGTGGCAAGTTTCTAGAGGCTGAAGAGAGGTTCCAAACATTCCAACCTTTACTAGAGCCATTACAAGAGTTAAAAAAAATCACATCAGAGAGGCCTCGAATGGAGATTCTTCCAATGACTCCATCTAGAATACCAATAATACCAAGATTACAACCATTACAACCATTACAGCAATCCACCCCACAGAAATTAGATTTTGGTCTTTTAGCATCAGACTATTTAGGAAATTACCTCAGTAAAAGTAGTATGACAGACACTACATATGGTATTAGACGAGAAGCAAATAAATTTTTTATTGGAAATAAGGAAGTTGATATTGCCAATGATGATGTTACAGTTGCAAATAAAACCTACAAGGGGACAAAAGGTTTATGGGAATTGTTAACGTTAAAAGAACCTGAGAACTATACTCAGACTGATTTGCAAAATTATAAAGAGATTTTGGAAGCTACAAATGGGCATTTAAAGAGTTACAAAGATGGTGCACCAATTTCAAGTAATAGACATACTAAATATCTTAATATAATTAAACCTCTTTTTAAATCTGTTGGTGAAGGTTTGAGACAAGTGACTGGTAATAAAATAGACTATATTTATTGGGATGATCCTAATGAGCTTGTAGATAGGTTAAGACTTCTTTGGCTAAGTCGCCAAGCCGGTAACTCTGGAGTGGATAATGAAATAGATTCCATTATTGAGGAATTGAGAGAAAGTGGAATTATTTATTAAATAAAAATATGTTTATAGATAAATTTTATCGTTTATATAATCCATATAATAAGCCTGCAGAACCCAGGGCGGCAACCATGAGTAGTGAACCTACTTTAAATTTACAAGATGATAGTTGGAATGGTTTAAACCGTAAAATTGGTAATGTTAAAGATGGGGAGATGGTAGAAGATGTATCAACTTTGGGACGGACATTAACTAGAAAAGGTGATGTCTTTTTACAAGGTAAAACTAAATATGAGTTTTTAGAATCTAAGAATAAAAATTGGAATGCTAAAAAACAGAAAATTACTAATGTGGAAAAGGGTGAAAGTTTAGATGATGTGCCCACTTTACAACAGACTTTAATGCGAACAGATGGTGGTACATTTGTACAAGACAATAAAAATTATGAATTTTTAGAATCAGAGAATGGTGTTTGGAATGCTAAGAAACAGAAAATTACTAATGTGGAAAAGGGTGAAAGTTTAGATGATGTGCCCACTTTACAACAGACTTTAATACGAAAAGAAGATGGTAAATTTGTACAAGACGATAATAATTATGAATTTTTAGAATCAGAGAATGGTGTTTGGAATGCTAAGAAACAGAAACTTAGCAATTTGATGGAAGGTACAGATAGTAAAGATGCTGTGAATGTTTCACAAGTTCCAAAAATGGAAGCAGGCTATTGGAATTTTAATAATAAAAGGTTAGTACATGTTAAACCTGCCATTGATGACACTGACTGTGTTACAAAAGAACAGACTATAACTTATAATAAAAAACTATATTGTTTTGATGCCAGAAATCTATTTATAAGAAATCTACCAAAAGGGGAACATTCGGATGACATTTGTCTAATGTCACAAGCTATGCGTTATGATGGATCGAAATTTGTGTGTGGAGAAAAAAAATTTTAATTTGATGGAATATAATCCTGATTTATTAGTTGCTGACCCCACATCTTTGAGTGGATTTAAGTATATAGATAATAGACCATATATACCAGAAAACTATGTATTTAAAAGAATGGAAGATAATCTATTGATTGGGGCTAATGGTGATGTATTTAGAGTTACAGGAAAGGATGATGTTATAAAAAATGAATGAAATTGCATACGAACTTCATAAGCCTGCAAGAAAGAATTTCATTAGAAGGTCTTTTAAAGTATTGGGTATAAACGAAACCATACAAATAGATTTAATTGATATGCAAAACTATGCTAGAGAGAATTCTGGCAATAAATATATTTTAACTTTAATAGATACATTTTCTAAAAAAGCTTATGCTGCTCCACTAAAGAATAAGACAGGGTTAGTGGTTATAGAAGCCATTAAAACAATTCTACCAAAGGGGGTTAAAAACATTCAATCTGACAATGGAAAAGAATTTTTTAATCAATATTTTAGCAAACTAATGAAAAACTTAAATATTAATCACTATCACACTTTTTCTACAACAAAGGCTGCAATTGTGGAGAGGTTTCAGAGAACTTTAAAGAATTGGTTATATAGGGAATTTAGTGCTCAGGGAAGTTATAAATGGTTGGATTTACTTCCAAAGTTAATTCGAAAATATAATAATAAAGTGCATAGATCTATAGGAATGAAGCCTAACCAAGTGAATATTAAGAATAGTAAATATGTGCATAAGAGGTTGCATGAAAAGACTTCTAAAGTAGTGCAAGTTAAAAAGCCAAGATATAAGGTAGGTGATAGTGTGAGGATTTCCAAGTATAAACATGTTTTTAGTAAAGGTTATACTCCGAATTGGACAGGGGAACTATTTACAATAGCAGAAGTTAAGAATACAAAGCCTGTGACTTATATCTTGAAAGATGAAAATGGCAATATAATCAGAGGAGGCTTCTATACAGAGGAGTTGTTAAAGACCAAGTATAAAGACATGTATTTGATAGAAAAGGTAATTAGAAGGAAGGGTGATTTATTGTATGTCAAATGGCTTGGATTCCCAAGTAGCCAAAACTCATGGATTTCCACTAAGGATGTCCAAGGGGGCGCGCCATGAGCCGGGAGCACGACCGAGTTCGCGTACAAACCTCGCACTGTCAAGTTGATGATTTTGAGAATATACATGTGGATGGGTGTTGGAGATGGATTTGAAATTATACAATATAGATATGGAGTTGTACATTTATATAGGCTTGTATAGGCCCAAGAGTAAGTTTAAGAGGTATATCCCAAAAGACAAAGAAATGAAAATATTAAACAACTCATACAACTAATATATATAGATAAGACAGAAATATAGACTACAACATATCAACATATCAACTAGAAAGGGGAATGTTAGATGTACTAGCAATTAGGCATGGGCGGGGAGTTGGCTCAAAAACCTCGCGCCCCCAAAAAACGGCGGCGACAACCTATACTACTATACATGCATACTACTATACATATACACATGCATGGGTCAATATTTTTTTTTTGCTTAATATCAAATATATATATAGGGAATAAGTAAGAAATAAGGTTTAACAATTATATAGGGATATTTAGGCAAAGATCAGGATTTTTGGAATTGGTGGCCAAAAAATGATCCCCATGTTATTCTTATGGGGAAAACGTGCCTAAAGTGGGGTATCTTTGCTAGTTCACCACTACTTGTTTAGTATTCTTTAATAATTGCCTAATCATAACCTATACGATTTAGACATAACTAGCCGGTCTAAAACTAAAGTTAACGTGACTATAGTCGACTGTCGTTTAACGCTGGGCATGAATAGTCGACCCTTCGAGTAATCCGTCTATTCAGAGCCTCCTCGCCACCTCGGCCCCCAATTAGCGCCGCTCGACTGGGCGCGTGGCTCACCCACAGTATGAGTATGTTACGTTGGTTATTCAAAAAAATTAAGCAGAACAGAAGTTATATTATGCATCGGCTCGTAATACTGATAAATTTGATACCAAACTTCACGTAAATTGAGCAAAATTTACACATTTAAGGGAAATTTTAATTATATCTTAGGCCTTATTGCATATAACTGTATTCATTAATAGATAATCACTTTGAAATAATGTAAAAAAATTATTTTAGCACACCTGAATTATAATTATTTTGTAAAAGGCATCATAAACGTAACCCAAAATCTATTTATAACATTTGTTATCGATATCCTATACTATCACTCATTTAACATAATAATGATAAAACGTGGTAGGTGGTTTAGTCTGGATGATCTTATATCAATTTTTGGAATATAATAAAAGCTCTTAAAGAGTATTTACTTTTGCGTGAAATTATTATCACGTTTATACACGAAACTAATATATAGATAGTCTATATTTTCATCTTTATAATATGATGTACTAAGATTCCCATCACACTTTTCCCAGGCTTTGGACTGGCTAAATAGTTTGCATATTTGTAACTATTTAGGCGTGTTTAAAATCTTTTTGGTTTTTTATATTTTGTATTTTTTTTGTATTTTTGAATTTTTATGTATTTTTTGTATTTTAAAAAAAATTCATGTTTTTTAAATATATAAAGAAAAATATGTATACAAAATTCCGTACTCAGTCTGTTAAAATCACATAAAAGACCTAATATTCTTAAACAATGTACAACAACTATAAAAATTTTCCAGATAAGTAATAAATAAAATACAGAGTTTGATAATGATAACAAAAGTAAAAATTCAATATAATCTACAAAACAAGAGATAACAACAGAATTTTATTTTTCATAATGGAACCGCTAAGTCATCCCCCGAGTCATCTTCTGTGTCATGTCGTTCGCCTTCACTGCCAACTTCGCTGCCATCTTCGGATTCCGAGTCTTCTGCCAGGTTTATGATGAAATTGTCCTGAACGTCATCGCTCATGGCCTCCAGGTCCCACATGAGGTCTTCTACTCCCATTACGTGTTTGACAGCCTTCCTCCAGTCCTCATCAGAAACATTGTCAAGAGCGTTGTTCAGTAGGGCTTCTACAGAGTGGAGAGAATAATCTGTGTTTATTCTCGCTACTTCATTTTTTACTTTAGCCCACACCAGTTCGATGGGGTTTAAGTCGCAATGATAGGGAGGAAGTCGCAAAACCGTGTGACCAAACTCTTCTGCTATTTTATCGACTTTGAAAGTTTTTGCTGCCATTAGAAGGTGATCTGGAATGCGCGCTATCAGTTCTGTTTTCACATCTCTGTCGTCGAAGTAAACTCCATTTACATTTAGCCACTCTTGAATTTCACCTTTCTTCCAGCTAATGTTTGGCAGTTTATAAAGAGTTTCACTGTGATATGAAGCGTTGTCCATCACAATCACGCTATTTGGAGGCAACACGTGTAGTACTCCGGTGAACCAATCCTCGAAAGCCTTGGCGTTCATCTCATCGTGGTGAGTTGCATTTGCAATTTTTACAACGAGCATCGCTTCCTGCTGACGGATCTATGGATCTCTCAAAAAGCCATTTTCACTATCAATTATCAATTATCAATTATTTAAGATGGGGATATATTAAATGCCAGCTGGTTATAATTCATTTGTTATTGTTTTGAACTTATAATTGTTACTATAAAAATACAAAAACTGTGAACAAAACTCTCAACTTATCTCAGTTTTATCTAACTTTTAATCTTATAAAACTAACTAACTTTAAACTTGAACAACTAACTATTTGACATGGTAGCAGAGCTGCAACGATCCACCTGTAACTGATCTTTATTTCACTTATTTGTACTGTCTAACTTCAACTGAACTTTGAACATGACGACTCGACTGAGGAAGAAGGCTGCCACTCTCACGGCACGTGTGAAGTCTACCCTTGCAGAGGCGACTACACTGCTTAACGCCGAGGACCCTTCGAGGAACGCGCTACTAGCGACGCTGGCAACTCTGCAAGGCTATTCAGCTCGCCTAGAAGCCTTGATGAAACAGATTGACCTAGACACAGCCAACGGGTCGGCAACTGTGGAGGGTACCGACGACGCCGAGGACCTTTTTGGTATCGTACTTGACAGTGAGCAAGTAATATCAACCTTGAAGGTAAGACTTGAAGCCTTCCGAACTTTAGCCTTTAGAACTGAAGCCTTTAGAACTTTTCAACACGAAAGCTATAAATGATGATGCCAATAATTCAAATGGTCTTTCGTCCGAGCGAGTGTTGGAAAATCCACGCAGTTTAGTACAACTGCCTAAACTAATCCTTCCCATGTTTGAAGGTAACATTCTTAAATGGCAAGAGTTCTGGGACTCGTACAACTCTGCCATTCACAGTCAGCAATATTTAACTAAAGTAGATAAATTCAATTATCTTAACTCCCTTTTGAATGGAGAGGCCAAACTATGCATTGCTGGTCTACAATTAACTGCTGACAATTATGACGTTGCCATTTCTTTACTCCAAGAAAGATTTGCTAATAAACAACTCATAATCAATTCGCATTACAAAGCCTTGATGGACTTAAGTCCCTTAAAATCGAACGACACTGGAAAACTTAGGAACTTATTCGATGTTATTGACAAACACATCAGGTGTCTACAAAACTTAGGCGAAGATACCAACTCGAATTTCTTTTTTTCTCTGATTATGAGGAAACTTCCTCTGGATATAGTCATAAAAGTAGAGGAAAACAACGTAGATAATACTCTTGATGCCACTAAATTATGTAGTATAGTAAGAAATATAATCGTAGCTAGAGAAAAGTCACAACTTTTATTAGGTTTTGGATTAACAAAAACTTCCATATCACCATCAGAAAACGGAAACTACTTTCGTACCTCAGAAAAAGGTAATTTTTCAACTACCCAGGCCCTTCCATCGACCGAAAACAGAACTGCAACCTGTATTTTCTGCAAAGACGCCCACTGGAACGACCAATGCCAGAAGTATAAAACTGTTGAAGAAAGAAAAGGTAAGGTCAAAGGTCTCTGTTTTATTTGCCTGAAGAGTGGACACAACTTAAAGGATTGTAAGGTAAGCAAACCTTGTATATATTGCAAACAAAGGAAGAACCATCATAGAAGTCTTTGTCCCAAAAGATTTTCACAGTCCCTTAAGCCTCCCGAAAATTGTGCTGTCAATCCCGAAGTCTGTAGCGAACCTTCTCTTGTTACGGTTCATGAAAATGTGATTTTGCAAACGGCTAAGGTTTATTTGACGAGTAATGGCTTGACAGAGCCTGCTAAAGTTTTGTTTGATACCGGGAGTCAAAGATCTTATATCTGTACTAATCTTGCATCAAAACTTAAACTAAAGAGCGATAACACTCAAGTTTTATCTGTATTTACCTTTGGTAATAAAGATGCAAAAACCTTTGAAACACAAAATGTAACTACCGGACTCATACTAAGTGATGGTAAGGTTTTCAATCTCAGTTGTAATGTAGTGCCCCAAATCACGGGAAAGTTAAGCAGTACCTCTAGTATTGATGTTTCCCAGATACAATCTCGGTTTCCATCCCTTACTTTTGCCGAGGGTCAAAATGAGGATTCAGTCATTGACTTGTTAATAGGAAATGATTTCTACTTTGACCTTATAACTAATGAAAAGATCGAAGTACACTCTGGTTTGTATCTAATAAGATCTAAGGTTGGCTGGATTTTAAGTGGGAGGGAAAAATCTCCAAATGATGCAAAATCAAACACTTACTCTACGTCCTTTCTAACTATGTCACAACCTACAAATGTTTTTAATTTAAGGAATCATTTTGTAGAACCAGACTCACAGTTTGTACAAGATTTGCATATTAAGGACCTATGGAGTTTGGATAGTATAGGGATTCGTGATTGCCCTCATCAAAATGATGATGATATAGCTTTGGGTCAGTTCAATGAAACTATTAAGCTTGAAAATAGTAGGTATTCGGTTGGTTGGCCTTGGAAGGAGTATCCCCCTGACTTACCAAAAAACTACAATTTGTCTCTTTCAAGACTTAACTCACTTTTGCACCGTTTTAAAAACAAATCTAGTGTGCTTGAAGAGTACGATAAAACAATCAAGGATCAACTCTGTAACGGAATTATTGAAAAGGCCCCTCCTAACGATGACTTAACAGTTTGTCACTATATCCCACACAACCCAGTTATCAATGAGTGTAAAATCACAACGAAACTAAGAATTGTGTATGATGCATCATCAAAGAGTAAAAAGACAAATAACAGTTTAAACGATTGCTTGTACCGTGGACCGGTAATTTTAGAAGATTTGTGTAGTCTACTTCTCAGATTTCGTATGAATCCTGTTGGTATTGTTGCGGACATCGAAAAAGCATTTCTTCAACTAAATTTACAGGAATCTGACAGGGATGTCACTCGTTTTTTGTGGCTTAAGGATACATCCTCTCTTTTACTAGACAACAATGTTGAAGAGTATAGATTTTGCAGAGTACCATTTGGAGTAATTTCTAGTCCTTTTCTATTGAATGCAACTATACAACATCACTTACTCCACTCTCAACTTTCTGGGGTTTCTGAACGTTCGAAACATTCATTTTATGTCGACAACATGATTACTGGAACTCAAACCAGTCAGGATGCGGTTATTCTTTTCCAAACGAGTGAAACTATTTTTTCACAAGCTAGTATGAATCTAAGGGGTTGGTGCTCTAATTCTAAGCTATTTATGGCAAGTATTCCTGATGATAAAGTTACTACTGAAAATGAAGACAGTGTTTGTGTATTGGGAATAAAATGGGATACAATCAAGGACACGCTCTCTGTAAAACCAGTTAAAGTTGAACCTTGTGTTGTAACGAAGAGGACTGCACTGAAACTAGTAGCTTCCATTTTTGATCCTTTGGGTTTATTTACTCCTGTAGTTTTGAAAGCTAAGTTATTCATTCAAAACTTGTGGCTTGAAGGCGTTGATTGGGATGAAGAGCTGAACTCAGAACTTACAAAGGTATGGATGCAGATTCAATCAAACCTACTTAAAATTCCTGAGGTATGTATTCCAAGATATGTTGGAATCATTGGTGATACTTTAGAGTTACATTGTTTCACTGATGCATCTAAAGATTGTTACGCTACAGCTGTTTATTTGCGATTAAAGAGTAATAAATACATCCACGACAAAATCAATACTTATTTTCTCTAAATGTCATGTAACCCCCAAGTCAAAGCCAAACATCACTATACCACGATTGGAATTACTTGGTGTTTTAATTGGGGTGAGATCATTGAAGTTTACTGAAACTGCGCTGAAGACTTCTGTGACACGAAAAATACTTTGTTGGACAGACTCACAATGTGTTCACCATTGGTTGAATACAAATAGGATACTACCAAAGTTCGTTGAGCGAAGACTCTCAGAAATTAAATCACATACCGATGTAGAGTTTCGTTACGTACCTTCTAGTAACAATCCTACAGATTTGGCGACTCGCGGATTGACTATTAATGAGTTGCAGGAGAGCCAGTTATGGTGGTCAGACCCTGAATTTCTAGGTTCATCGGAAATGAAATTTCCTGTGCTTTTACCTAAAAATGACCACTTTACCAATTTGGTCATAAATGACTATCATGTAAAACTACAACATGTTGGTGTTCAACACACTTTATCGGAAGTCCGAAAACACTATTGGATTATTCAAGGAAGATCTCAAGTGTCTAAGATTATCAGACAATGCCAGAAATGCAGAAGATGGGATGGAGGTCCATTCAAAATGCTTATTTGTCATCGGAAATGAAATTTCCTGTGCTTTTATCTAAAAATGACCACTTTACCAATTTGGTAATAAATGACTATCATGTAAAACTACAACATTTTGGTGTTCAACACACTTTATCGGAAGTCCGAAAACACTATTGGATTATTCAAGGAAGATCTCAAGTGTCTAAGATTATCAGACAATGCAAGAAATGCAGAAGATGGGATGGAGGTCCATTCAAAATGCCGTCTTTCCCTCCCCTACCAATGGAACGTGTTACCCAAAATATTCCTTTTTCATACACTGGTCTAGATTACTTTGGTCCGTTGTACGTGAAGACCAATGAACTCACTGATGACTCAAGAAAGGTATATGGTTGTATTTTCACATGCTTAACTGTTAGAGCTATTCACCTAGAACTGGTCAGTGATATGACGTCAAGTGAATTCTTGTTGGCTTTGAAGCGATTTGTAAGTAGAAGAGGAAAACCTTTGGAGATATATTTGGACAACGCTCCACAGTTCAAACTAGCTTCTTCATTCTTAGAGAATATCTGGGAAAACAACTTCGTAGATGATGACGTCTTATCTTTTGTACATAGCAATGGGTGTAAATTCAACTTCATCCCCGAATTCGCTCCTTGGATGGGAGGATTCTACGAACGGCTCATTTCTAGTGTAAAAAAATGCTTGAAGAAAACTATTGGACAATTGAAGTTGACATACACACAGCTAGAAACTGTATTATACGAAACTGAGGCCATTTTGAATTCAAGACCTC